GTTTAGGCATGTCAATATTTGCTAGAAATTTATTCATTTCTTCCAGATTCTCAAGCATATTAGCATAAAGGTTTGAAAAGTATTCCCTTATAATGTTCGGAATCTTGGTTGTTTTGGTGGTGATGTTACCATTCTCATCTCTGAGAATGTGTTCTCTTTTTTTCTGATAAGGGTCTGTCAATTTTGTTTTGTTTATTCTTTCTAATTTTTTTTGGACTCCAATTCATTTAATTCTGATATAATTTTAATGATTTCTTTCTGTCTACTGGATTGGGGTTTACCTTGTTGCTCTTTTTCAGGAGCTTCAAGTGACTTGTTAAATTTTTGTTTCAGATCTCTCCAACTTGTTGCTTTAGAAACTCAGAGCTATAAACATGCCTCTGAGTACTGCCTTTGCTGTGTCCCAGAGGAGCTGGTGCTTTATTTGTTCATTTTTGTTAAATATCATGAACATTTGAATTTCCTTTCTCATCTCTTATATGACCCACTGGTGGTTCAACGGTGTGTTGTTCAGCCTCCATGTGTTACAGGATTTCTTTTGGTGGCTTTTGGTGTTGAATTCTAATTTTATTTCCATGTGTTCTCAGAGAATGCAGGGCATAATTTCAATGTTTCTAAATTTGGACAAATTTGCTTTGTGACCTAAAATGTTGTCTATTTTGGAGAATGTTCCATGTGCTGCTTAGAAGAATGTGTATTCTGATGCTGCTGGGTGAAATATTCGGTAGATGTCTGTTAAGTTTAGTTGATCTATTCAGTTATTTAGTTCTGAGGTTTCTCTGTTGAGTTTTTGCTGGATTGACCTATCCAGCAGGGATAGTGGTATGGTAAAGTCCCCAACAATTAATGTCTTTGGATCTATGTGTGATTTTAGGGAAAGTAGTGTTTCTTGGATAAATTGGGGTGCTCCATTATTTGGTGAGTATATTTTTAGAATTATGATATCCTCCTGAAGGAGACATCCCTTAATCACTATGTAATCACCTTCTTTATGTCTTCTCACTAATTTTAATTTGATGTCTATTTTATCTGATATTAGGATTGCAACTCCTGCCTGTTTATGGGGGCCATTTGCTTGGTAGATTTTATTCCAGCCTTTCACTTTCAGAATATGTTTGTTTTTGTGAGCAAGGTGTGTCTCTTGAAGGCAACAGATAGAAGGATCTCTTAATTGGAGATTTACGACCATTAATATTGAGAGTTAGGACTGAGAGGTGTTTAGTAGTTCCTGCCATGTTACCTGCCTTTGTGGAGGCTATGCCAACTGTGTTCTTCCTATGCTTCTTGGATTCTCTCTTTGGGGGCTGTTTCTTGGCCTTTATTGTGCTCTTGTTGGTTTTCTATGTGCAGGACATCTTTAAGTATCTTGCTATGCAAGGTTTTTATTTGACCTTCTGTTATGAAGGAGAGTTTTGCTGGGTATAGTATTCTTGTTTGATAATTGTTTGTCTTTAGGACATGGCATACATCATTCCAGGCTCTTCTTGCTTTCATGGACTCTGTTGAGAAATCTGAAGCTATTCTGATTGGTTTCCTTTTATAGGTGATTGGTCTTTTTTCCTTGACAGCTTTAAGGATCCTTTCCCTGGTCTGAATTGATCCTGCGTGGATTACAATATAATTGTGGGATGTCCTGTTCTAGTCTGGTCTATTTGGGGTTCTAAATGCTTTTTGTATTTGAATAGGCCTCTGTTTTTTTTTCATGTTTGGAAAGTTCTGCTAGGATCCTGTTAAATAAATTTCCTAGACCATTAACTTCTGTTTCTAGGTGCTCCTCTACCCCCATTATCCTCAAACTAGGCCTTCTGATGGTGTCTTCTAGATGTTTAATAGATCTATCATATTTCGTGGATTTGTCTTGAATAGTTGTCTGTTCTTTCTCTGTAATATTTAAGTTGTGGCTTAATTGAATAGGAAGAGGATGTCTTAATTAACAGGAACATATGTAACAGGATTTCTTAATTAAAGCCTAATAGGAATGGTATGTAACTAAAATACAATCAACCAGGGCCAGCCTACACTGAGCTGTCTCTGCTTGGGAGGAACAACTCTCCCCAGGGGTGGAGCTGAGTCTTTTGACCTGCTGAATGTCTCCTATTGTCTTCTTCCCAGGCCTGAGTTATGCTAGCTGCTCTAACTGGGTCTGGGTCAGTATCAAAGATGGAGTTTTTCTCTGGTGGTGGGGGAGGGGCTACCTTCCCACTGCTGCTCCGAGAGGAGTGAGGATGTCTTGGGCATACTCACAGCTATCCTTTGGTTTCCGGTCCATTCATGTCCATGGTCTGCGGCTGTCTGTGGTCAGCCAAATGAAGATTTCCACTCCTTGTCAGCTCTTGCTGGCAGTGAGTAGAATCCACTTGCAAACTATCTCTCATGCCTTTGTCCTGAACTCTCTCTGTCGATGTGGCAGCCAGCGGTAGCAGCTGCCACTGCTGTGAACCTGGGGATACTCCAATCTGTGTCCTTAAGCTGCCTGAGTTTTTACTCTCTGGCCAAACTCTCTGTAGTATGATAACATACTTGGTGTGACTCTCTATCCTTAGATTTTCCACTGGAATACTAATATTGGTTTCTATGCAATCTTCCTCTCATGTCTCTAGCTACTTTTTGGGAAGACATCTGCTCCCATCTGCTGGGAAATGTCTTTCAAACCTGACACAGCAGCATGAAGCATTAGCTTAATTTCCTCATGTCTCATGTCAAGTGAGCTAAGAGTCTATTGGCATACCATTTGGGGGGTTTGCTTTGTTTTCAAGTCTTCATAAATGTATAATTGTGTCTTCAAGCATAATAATTAAGTAGAATAGTAAGCCAGGTACTTTAGAACATAAAACCCAGCTGTAAAACCTACTTTGACCTTTCAACTACTTTCTTTCTATCTTGATAATGATTAATAGATATAATCAGGTCTAATCTAAAGCTGTATATAAAATTTTAAAGTTTAACTTGATAATTGTTAATGCTAATAAATAAGACAAAGGATTATTTACACTCAGATCTGATCTTTCGTAAAATCTATTCATTTCCTCTTACTCATATTTTATTAGCTTCAATTAGTATACAAGGAAGTTTCATTGTGACATGTCTACATAAGCATGCAATGTACCTTGATCAAACTTGATCCATGAAGCCAGTTGAACCCTAAATTGGCAATAGAATAGTAATGTTCACTGTGAACACTAGATGGCAGTGGTTCTCAGTAATGCTTTAGAAAAAAAAAGTCTTGTATTGTGGTTGTAAACATTCCTTTGTAGAATGCACTGAGCTTATTGAACAAACTTTAATGTGCCCTTTCTCTGTCTTATTCTTCTGGCACAATAAGGCATCAACCTTCATCAATGTTCCCTTTTCCTTTATATTGGCAAGTGAAGTCTTTTTTTTAAGACTATGTGAAACACTAGTCAGTCTAAGCATTTTCCCTTACCACCTTTCCATCCCTACCACCACCTGCCAAAGCTTTGTGACTGAGGATATTTTCCTAATTAGCTGATTTGAATGCTACTAGTTGAAGCATACTGATGAAGTCAACTGTTTTCAGTGGTCCCCTGGGCCTTCTAGGAAGACAGACTAGTTTTAGAACAGAGCAGAACAAATGAAAAAGAAAGAAATAAGGGACTGGCCCAGTGTTTTAACTCTTTATGTAAAAAAACTCACCCATAGTTTGTGTGAGAAATAGACAATTCTAATCTAATTTTTAATTGAAATAATAAAATTACTATTTATTTTCTTTAATCTCCTCATCTTTGGAAAGTCCTTATACTATATGGAGAATACATACGTTAAGCATGTCTATTATTTTCAATCAGTCAGTTCTGGGGCTTGAACTCAGGGTATCACACTCTCATTTGGCTTTTTCCTCTCAAGGCTGGTGTTCTACCACTTGAACAATACCTCCACTTCTGCCTTTGGGGTGGTTAATTGGAAAAAATCAATCTCTTGGATTTATCTGGTTTCAAATTTATATCCTCAGATCTCAGCTTCCTAACAAGCTAGGTTTACAGGTGTGAGCTACCAGAGCCCAGCGTTATTTCCATTTCTTTAGGTATTGTGAAGCGTAGAAAATACATATAATTAGTTTATTTTTGTCAGTTTTAACACTTCATCTCACACAATGGGGATATAGTAATAGTATTGTGAGGAACAATGTCTTACCTATTCCTTTTTGTCAATCTTTTGAGAATTGTTTTTCTGAAAAGATCCTCCTTTGCCAAATGGTTGGCCCTGGTTGATTGTATTTTAGTTACATCCCATTCCTACTACACTTTAATTAAGAAAGCCTGTTACATTTATCCCTGCTAATTAAGACATCCTCTTCCTTTTCAATTAAGCCACAACCTATTGTAGATTTTGAACCTGAGCTGGCCAATCTGAGCAGAGGGGCAGGGCCCACTGCATTAGGAATAAAAAGGGAGCAGCCTGATTGTTCTGTGAGATTTCTTACTGGATTCTGGCTAATGGTGCACCCTTCTGCAGAAGTAAACCCTACCTTGCTGAGTTTCTTTAAAGATGCTCCATATTCCTATATAATACCCCAGCATCCCAAGGATCTTTTTTTATTATCTTAGTTTTTGAAGTATATGAATACATATCTCTTAATCATCTAAACTAGATCCAAAACATGTGAGAATCTTTTGTGTCTATACATAATGTGTTGATATAATTTTATATGCATTTCTTATAAGTTATTTTTCAAATAAGATCATATAGATGCCAGTATTCTGCTGTTTTTGCCTTTTCTGATTTGGTGATGTAGATGATGAAAGTTAATCTTCCTGCTTTCTGAAAGAAAGGGACACTATGTCTACTGTGAACAAGGGCACTGTGCTGGATTACTACCACCAACCTGTTCTTTCTGCTATCGTTCTTCTTCTGCTCCTGGCATTTTATATGTACTTCTGTTTATTTTCAGAAAAGAAAAGTGAGAAGACTTTTTAGAAAGTCAACCTGTTTCACTGCATTCTGGACTGTATTTCTCCTATTTCCCTTTTCCCTCCACACAGGTCAGAGTTTCCCAAGGCAAAGAACCTACTCACCTGCTAAGTTTGTTCAAAGACAAACCACTCATTATTTACAAGAATGGAACATCAAAGAAGGGAGGGCAAGCACCTGCTCCCCCTACACGTCTCTTCCAAGTACGGAGAAACCTGGCATCCATCACCAGGATTGTGGAGGTAATGCCATGTATCTAGTAAAATGTGCCCTTCAGACAGGTGGCAAGTAACTGCTTTACATCTCTCTAATACAAATAAAATCTAGAATTTAAAAAAACAACATTGAAAGCAAGGGAGTTGAGTTCAAAGTTAAAACTCTGGTTTCTCACATTTTTCAACTGCCCTGAACTTAAATGAATACTGTCATAAATGAAGTTGAAAAAGGCAGGAGGCAGCTCTCATCTCGAAAGGTTTGGTGTAGAAGGACTGTGAGTGGTGGTCAGGTGACACCACATGTGGAAAACCGGAGAGGGAAGGGCCTTGTTTGTACAAGCATAACAAATGTGGAGAGCAAGCTTGGTAATGTTGGACCAACCCCATCACACTTCACATCCCAGTCACCTCAGTCACTAATTATTTCCAGTGCTCCCTAACCACTCTTAAATGTCCCTGTTCATTCCAAACAGGAACCTACCTACCAAGCCTTTCCTCTGAGCCCAAACTATTTAGCTGAGACCTTAATATCAAGTCAATCAGGCAGGTGTCCATGGCTTACACCTGTGATCCTAGTTACTCAGGAGGCTGAGAGCTGAGGATTGTGATTAAAGCCAGCCTGGGCAGGAAACTCTGTGAGACTATTTCCTTAATTAATTACTAAAATGCTGGAAGTGAAGCTGTGGCTCAAAGCAGTGGAGCACTAGTCTTGAGCACAAAAGCTCAGGGGCAATGTCCTGGCTCTGAGTTCAAGTCCCAGGACTGGCACAAAATAAAAACAGAAGCAAAACGAACCGTGGTCAGTGTTGCATCACTCCACTGCCAACATCTTCTCTAAGTCTGCTCTGAGGCTGTCATCTGAGGACAGATGTTCGTAGAGTGCTCTTTGGTGCTGAGGTGTATTTCCTTCCAATGTCCATTCAGTAGGGCATCTAGATGAGGCTGGGGCATTCTCCTTGCTCACTCCTTCCTTCCTCTTCCAGCAGGCTAACCATTGCTGAGTGAACAAAGAGGTTTATTTTCCCTCCACTGATCTCACATGAGTTGACGCCAGCCCCTTGTCACCTTTTCTCTATCATCTTGGCTCTTTCCTCAATATGAGACATACAGATTCCAAATGACAAGTCCTGAAATCCAGACCTGGTTGCTATAATTCTTCATCACCACAGCAAGTGGGCTTCTTTGAGTCGGGTCCAGGAGGCCTCATTCTGCCAGGAGAGAACTGTCACCACGCGCCTGAATGAAGCCAACCCTTGGGATCTGCTAACATCAATGATCATTCCTTCTTCCTGTAGTGTTCTCTCTGGGGAATGTGGTTTTGTAAAAATGACAAAAAGCTATTGTTGACACTTTCATCATGGCTGTTCAGTGTGGTCGGCCGAGTGGTATTTTGCACAGCAGTCCACCCCTGCCTTTTTATTTTTATTCCCCCCCCCCCCCCCCCCAGTACTAGGGATTGAAATGAGGATTGTGCACTTCCTAGGCAAGCATTCTATCACTCAAACCTTTCATTTCTCCTTCCCCTGGCCCTTTCTTGTTTTGGTTTGATTTTCAGATAGGATCTTGCACATGTGCCAGAGTTGGCCTCTGCTCCTGAGTAGCTGGGATTATAGGCATATGCCACAATGCCTGACTAACTCTGCCTTTCTTGACATATTGGTTCCTTGACTTCAGGATTGCCACGCTGTGTGTTTCCCCTCTTTCTTGCTTTTCATGGCTGTTCCATCCCAGTCTTACTGGTTTTTGTCTCCCTGGAATCACACGTAACAGTCCACACTACAACTATGCAGAAAGTCACACACAGTGACATTGCTACACAATATTGTGGTCAGATCTGTTCTCACAGAAATGGACACAGTTGCCAAATCCAAAGATCATACGCCCAAGACATCTTAGGAACCTCCTAACTTGCTATCAAGCCTGAGATAGCTCATACCACATTCCCACCTGGAAGTCGAAGTTTCCAACTCCTGGTCACAGTCTGGGCTCAGACAGGCCTTTATATCCACAGGGAACAGATCTGTGTTTACTCAGCACATCTGGAGTAGTGACAACTTCTCAGAAAGAAATGGTGTGCCATATGCTGGTGTTGGTTTTTTTGGGGGGGTCCGGTTGTGGGGCCTGAACTCTGGGCCTGGGCACTGCCCCTCAGCTCTTCAGCTCAAGGCTAGCACTCTACCACGTGAGCCACAACGTCACTTCTGGCTTTTTTCTTTTTGCTTATGTGGTGCTGAGTAATCGAACCCAGGGCCGCAGGCATGCAAGGCAAGCGCTCTACCACTAAGCTACCTTCCCAGCCTACTGGTGCTGGTTTTTAATCCCGTGTGAATATTCTTCTATAATTTGAACTGTAATTTATCCAACTCTGGAGCAAGTTGTACTGAATCTATAGTATCTTGTTGCCTCTATATTGGAGTACAGTCCTTGTTTCATATTTTCTAGGTTTCCCTTTGATTATTTGACAAGCCTTTACATATATATATACATATATATATATGTTTTTATTGTGAAAATACTGTACAGAGGGGTTACAATTACATGAGCAAGGTAATGAGTACATTGTTGCCTCCTCCTTTGTTTCCCCTTACCATCCCTGCCCTCCCATCTCCTATCCCTCCACTCCCCCTGCTGCCGCCAAAGTTGTTGTAATGGGTCAATCTGTATCCCTATTTAAACAATTTGTTTTTTCCCTTCCCCTCCACAAATTATACCAACATCAAATACAGTGAAAACAGGGGTTATACCATGGGGAGGGACATACAAAGCAACAAAGAAATCATCTTATAAATAAATATGTTAGAAACAATAGCAAGAAAGAAAAACAATTTGGGTCCTTATCTTGGGGTTCATTTCGCCTAACATCATCTTATCTGACCGTTTCTGCTTTGACAAGCCTTTCTTTACGAGGGAGAAAAAATATAGTATCCCTCTGTTTGCATTTTAGTTGAGTACTATGCCCTTTTCCCAGTCTTTAGTGATAGCCTATCCATGGCCTTATGGTGTCTTTAAAAGTCAGTTTTACTTGTGTTCAGATCCCCTCATCTTTCCTCCCTGCCCCCTGCATCATTTTCGTCCTTTCTCCCTCTTTCTTTTGGAGACAGGGTCTTGCTATATAGTCCAGGCTAACTTAGAACTCCTGATCCTTCTGCCTTAGTTTCCCAAGTGCTAGAATTAGAGGAATGTGTTGCCATTCCTAGCCAAAAACTCTTTTTCTTTTTTGTCAGTACTGGGGCCTGAACTCTGAGCCTCCCACTTACTTGGCTTGCTTATGGCTGGTACTTGAGCCATGCTTCCAACCTGGGTATTTGATGGTTATTTTGGAGATGGAATCTCACAGAGTTTTTACCTTTACTGGTTTTGAACTGAGATTCTAATGATCTTAGCCTCCAGAGTAGTTAGGATTTATAGGCCTCAGCCAACTCTAGGTACAAAGCCCTCAATTTACTCTTATTTTTTTAAGGTGCCAATAGTTAGGGCTTGAACTCAGGGCCTTCATTCTGGGACTCAGGTATTTTGCTCGTGGCTGGTGCTTTACCATTAGAGTCATGCCTCCAGTTCTAGCTTTTTATACTCAACAAATCTTGCAGATTTGTTTTCTTGGGCTGGCTTTAAACTACAATGGCCCCCATCTTAGTTTCTTGAGTATCTAGGATTACAGATACAAACCACCTGTGTACTGTTTAAAACCCTTACCTCTCATTATTTGAGCCCTACTGTGTGAGGGCATTGGGGTGTTAAAAATTACACAGGAACAGGTGCTCCTAGGCCAGAATTTCAAGAATCCGGTTGCAGTGGTGCTCTGGGTGAACTTCCAAGGGAGTCCAGGAGGCTGTGGGTGCTTCCTCTCAGTCATAGCTCCTGTGGAATGATCACTGTGGGAGCAGGGTAAATCTGACTCATTGTGCTATTTTTCTTCATCCTCTAGGTCAATGTGGATGCAAATTCATTGAATTCCAATGATGTCTTTGTCTTAAAACTGCCCCACAACAGTGGCTACATCTGGATAGGAAAAGGCGCTAGCCAGGAGGAGGCCAAAGGTGCAGAGTATGTGGCAAATGTGCTCAAATGCAAAACAGCAAGGATTCAGGAAGGCGAAGAGCCAGGTGTGTGCTTAGGACACGAACCAGATTTCAGTTTGGAACACTAGCTGTTGGGCTTTTTCCATAAATGGGATTTTTTTTATGGCTCTAGGGGGTTTAGAATCCCTCTAATGGTTACATGTTAGTAGGATGTTTAAGTTGAGATATGACTGTTAGTGTGAAATATTCACAAGCATTATGTCCTTGAATAAGCGTTCAGTAACTCAATGTGTTTTCCACAGAGGAATTCTGGAGCTCCCTTGGTGGGAAAAAGGATTATCAGACCTCACCTCTGCTGGAAACACAGGCTGAAGACCATCCGCCTCGGCTCTATGGCTGTTCCAACAAAACAGGAAGATTCATTGTAAGCCTACCATTGAGCATCCTGTGCTCAGACAGTGTCCAGCCATGGGACAGCTGATTTCTAGGTTCAGTTGACCTGTAAGCTATGGATGGCTAATCTGTGCTCCATACCAGGGAACTTAAGAGTCAATGATGCAAACATTGATATGAAAGTGCTGAAGAACACTGTTCAGTAATCTACAAAGGTCCTCTTAAAAGCAGCTACTTTGCCAGGCGCCAGTGGTTCATGCCTGTAACCCTAGCTACTCAGGAGGCCGAGGTCTGAGGCTCGAAGTTCAAAGCAAGCCAGGGGAGGAAAGTCTGTGAGACTATCTCCAATAAACTATCAAAAAGCTGGAAGTGGAGTTTGGTCCAAGTGATAGAGCACTGGCTTTGAGCACAAAAGCTTAGTGCCCAGGCTCTGAGTTCAAGCTCCAGGAACAGCACCAAAAGACAGAGAGAAAAAAAAAAAGGCAGCTACAGCAGCTACTTTATATTGTGTCAGCATTTAGGATGCTATATAATTGTGTACAGCTAGATTTGCTAGTTTAATAATTAGATATTTTCCTTTTTCTTTCTTTTTTTTTTTTTGTCTGTCATGGGGCTTGAACTCTGGGCCTGGGCACTGTCCCTCAGCTCTTCAACTCAAGGCTAGCGCTCTACCTCTTGAGCCACAGTGCCACTTCTGGCTTTTTCTGCTTATGTGGTGCTGAGGAATCGAACCCAGGGCCTCATGCATGCAAGGCAAGCACTCTACCACCAAGCCACTTTCCCAGCCCTAATTGGATATTTTCTGTGGGTAGCAATTCTTTTCAATCTGCCTAACATTTCCGTTTCAGTTTCCCAGAGGAATAAAAACATTCTCAAGTTGACTGAATGAAAAAATACTGCAAATCACTGTACAAAAATCACAGATAGATATATATATAGACAGAGATCTCTATCTATGTATATATGTATGTATCTCTCTATATAAATATATCTATCTGTAAATGAGCTGAAATGAACAGTGATGTTTTGTTTTCTAGTCACTTAAATGCTTTGAATTCTAGGTAATTAAAAGTTTTTAATTAGAAGATCTGTGTAAATGTCCTAGTTCAGTTTGTTTAAAAAAAATACTGAGGACAAGATAGTTTAAGTAGTAAGTATTTATTTCTCAAATTTCTGAAGGCTGAAAAGTCCAAGCTGAATGCATAAGCAAACTCTGTTGTTTGGTGAGTGCTGCTTCCTGGTCTGCTCACTGCATCTTCACTTGGCCTGGTCCGGCTTCATTCTTTTCTATGACTCTGCTTCTTTTAGGAGCTCTACCCCTATGACCTCAAGTAAACTCAATCACCTTCTGAAGGTCCTGCCTCCTAGTATTGTCCCACTGGAAGCTACGGCTTCTACCTGTGAATTTTGGGGAACTACAAGGATGTAGTAGTCCATGACAGTACAAGGCTGATTTTCTACCAGGCTTTGAAATAATCACCCTAGGCAATGGCCTCACCAAAGTACAGCCAGACAAGCACTGTCATCTCCTAGATGCTAGACTTTGTGTCAACTTAAAATGATAAATCTTCTTTTTCACATAAAATGCCATCTCCAGATCATCCTGGTGAACAGAAGTCTTATTTTCAACACACACTTGGAAGTTTCCTGAGTCCTTTCCACACACATTTATTCCTAGGAAAAGAAAATGCCTTAGCTGAGTCCTGGTGGCTGAAGCTTGGAATTCTAGTGACTCAGGAGGCTGAGATATGAGGATCACAGTTCAAAGCCAGACTGGGGAAGTAAAGTCTGTGAGACTCTTATCTCCAATTAACCAACAGAAAACCGGAAGTGAAGCTATGGCTCAAAGGGGTAGAAGTGCTAGCCTTGAGCAAAAGAGCTCAGATATAGCACCCAGGTCCTGAGTTCAAGTCCTACAGCTGACATTAGAAAAGAAAAGAAAATGCCTTGGAGAAGAAATTGTTTATATATAAATCATGCTTGAAATTTTGGAGTAATTTGGCCTAAAAATTAAAAAATGTAATAATGGGATGATGGTCCATAGTTTAGGTTGTTGAGAGCACAGATTGTCACCCACTTTGTAGGAAATTCTCACATTTGCTGTCTTTTATAAACTTGTTATGAGAAAAAAAATTGTTTTCACTATTAATTGAGCATTCCATCCAAACAACTTCTTCTGTGTCATATGCTTTTCCCATGGCCTATGTAATTTCCCATCAGCTTTATTTGCTAATACTTCTATAAATTAGATGTTTGTTTTTCAGGACAATGTAGTTTACAAAAGCATATTTTGTAAGTACCCAAGGTTTATTCTCAGTCAGGATTCAAATAAAAAATTCTATTAGTCTTTTTTGTCATGTACATGTTAAGCCTTTCTGAGAAATACACTCTTTCTCTGTAGCCCATCCACTTTCTTGTTTGATATTTGGAAGTCTTCCTGCAAAAAGACTGTCCCTGACAGTCTGACAGTCTCAAGGTATACTGTGAACAGCATTGCTTTTAGAACCAGTTTACTTAAGTGATATCACTTATCTGGTGACATTGCTCACTTAGTCTGATTCCTTACCCTCTCTGTAATTTAGTTTTACTCATTTGTAAAATGTAGAAATAATAGTACCTACTTCTAATAATTGTTATAAATATTAAATTAATGATTGCATATAAGAGATTAGAAAAGTCCAGTTTTTTTTTTGTTGTTGTTCATTTTCTTTTGTGCTGGTTCAGGGCCTTGTACTCTTGCTTGGATTTTTCTGCTCATAACTAGCATTCTACCATGTTGAGTCACACCTCCAGTATGGTTTTTTGCTGAGTTGTTGGAGATAGCATCTCATGAACTTTCCTGCCTGGGCTGGATTTGAACTGAGATCTTCAGACCCCAGCCTCTTGAGTAGCTAGGATTACAGGTATAGCCTAGATCTCATTATCTCATTGAAGTTCAACAATGGAAATATGCTTAGGAGCTAGAGATTGCCTAGGACTAGGTTTCTTCTCCAATCTGGGCTTAGTATGGAGCTTCTGCTCTGGACTGCAGGTTGGATTTATGCTACATTTCCTCAAGACAGAGCTTAGGAACCCCAGAAAGACCCTGCTGAGTCATGATGGCTAGGCCATGGTCAGTGCTGCTTTACTGCCCTGCAAAGTCACCTGGCAGACAGAGGGGGTGAAGTATGAGGACCACAATCCCACCTGTCATGTCACACCTTCATGAGTGTCAGAGGATGGTTCACAGTTCCTACACATGTTAAAATATGGCTAATATTGCCCACTGGTGTTAAGTGGGCCACACCAGCACTCCTGTTATCATTTATTATTTACTACCAGGAATCCCGTGTTAACACACTGAGATGAAAATCATAAAATTTTAGTGTGATGTGAACTTGTTGAAAACTGTTGATCTGGTAAGACAACCAGGTCTATTGACTTTTGCTAAAATGATCTTGACATAAAAATGAAAGACCAAAAAATGTGATATCTAGACCATACTATCAAATGTCATTATAGACTAGACAGGCAATAAAATACTGATTGTATAGGCTTCACTGGAAGCCACTTGTCATAAGGAACTATAAGGTCTGAGAACAGTGGTCAGAATGACTATGTCCTTCCCAAAGGCATGCAGAAACAGTGTTTATAGTAAATACTTCGCTGGCCAAGGGTTACCAACAGTTTGTTATCTCTGATTATGTAGATGAACAACCACTTAAATCTCTGTTACCCAAAAGGAAGAAAAAGATAATTATCAAAGTTTATTTTGTTAAACTTGTGAAGGTTATGCAAAGCATTTGTATCTTGTGTGTCAGAAAAATGTTGGCTGTCTTGTTTGGTCATTAAGCATTTTGTACATTTCAGATTGAAGAGGTCCCAGGAGAGTTCACCCAGGATGATTTGGCAGAAGACGATGTCATGCTACTAGATGCTTGGGAACAGGTAGAAACTGTATATTGCTCAAAACAAGTGAAAGTACTTATGGTTGGAAAATGAGACACTGAGTCTTGTGATTTGGGTTATTATTCAAAGGAAGCTTAACATACTTTGACAAAATAACAAAATTCATTTATAGGACAAGTTGGATTTTTACTCTGGAAATAATTTTACAGGTATTAACTTTGGCTCTGTGGTTTCATGCAAAAATTTCTATTTTTCATTTATTTGTAAAATGCACTTGGCTCCTAATTTATTCATGCATTCCTTTTGCCAATCAGTACATTAATTTGTATAATGCCATGGGGGTCACAATGATATTGAGCATTTCTCTTGAAATCTGACAAGAAGTTGTAAAGAACTTCTCTCCCGGGGAAGGAACCAGCAAAGAATAATTGTAATCAAATCAGTAAAATGTTACTGTTTTAAATGTCTTAATTGAGGAGAAAATTAATGGCAATTTGATATGCCACATCTACTAGTTTTTTAGAATCTTTATGTAAATTAAAACCAGTGAAAGGAGAGAATTACATAGAACAAGTGTGAAAACTCAATTAATTTAGGATTAGTCCTAGAGTCAATCACAGAGATTTTGCTTTTAGATCTGCTTCTAATGACTCGGCCATTCTTGAGTTACACCCAAGCCTCTTGGTCTTTGATGACCATCTTTGAATTGGAGAATTCATCCCCAGATTCTCCTCATAATGTACCTCATTTTTTTTAAAGATAATACTTTGTATTTAACTTCTTATGCTTTCATAGTATGTTCTGTGGCCAGAACACTTTCACTGTGAATTAGAATACAATCAAAACAATTTGATGCTGAGTGCCAGTGGCTCATGTCTGTAATCCTAGCTATTCAAGAGGCTGAGGTCTGAGAATTGTGGTTCAAAGCCATTTCAGGCAGGAAAGCCCATGAGATTCTTATATCCAATTAATCACCAAAAAGCCAGAAAGTAGAGCTGTGGCTGAAGTGGTAGAGCACTAGCATTGAGCAACAAAAGCTCAGGGATAGCACCCAGGCCCTAAGTTCAAGCTCTAGTACTGGCACAAAAACAAAGCAAGCAAAACAAAAAGAAAGCAAGCCTTAATTTGACCAAAATTATTCTGCAAACAAGCATTTTAATGAGACTAATGTATTTCATGAAAATTTATAGCATTAAAATACTCAACTCACACACAGCAAAAATGAGGATACATACATGAATATATGTATACACACACATATATATATAAAGTATGAATATATATACTTAGAACAGATTATATATGAATTCCTTTTTTTAAAAAAGGCCTTGGTATTTAAATACTAAGCACCATAGCACTCTACCAAAGTTTTATTGGGCACAGCAAGAAAAAAAAAATCTCTAGACTTAATTCATAAATGCCCTAGTCTGGGGACTGGCACAGACAAGTTCTGTGTCTACATGTGGTTCTCTCCAGCCATATCTGGGGAATAGGGAGAATGATGGATGTAAAAAAAAAAATTCAAATACCAAACACGTTCTTGTAAAGAATCATGTTATAAACTAGAAAATGTCATCTACACATAGGATGTTAGTGTTAGAATCTGTAGTCCCACTGGTGCAGATAATGTAGGTGTCTCCTGGTGAGAGCATGCACTAGAATGTAGAGGGTGGTTGGAAGGCCCCCCTCTTTCACCTCCTTCCTTTTGGGGGTCCTTGTGAAGACAACGCCTTCACAATGGTTTGTTGTTTTTTTTAATAAGTTTTTTATTGTGGAAATACTGTATGTCTTCACAATGTTTGTGAAGTACTTGCTATACTCACTGAGTCATGCTGAGTCAACACTCAAAAACAGCACATTTGACCACTATTTTATTTTTCAGATATTTATTTGGATTGGCAAGGATGCCAATGAAATAGAGAAGAAAGAGTCACTGAAATCTGGTAAGCCACCTCCCAGGGACCAACTGTGTGTTCTAAGTGTCTGACTGCTCTTTCCCACCATAGCCTCCAGAAATACATAAAAAACAGTGAAGTATCTTAGGTATCACCCTTGGCACTGAAGAGAAGTGGAATCTTTTAAAATTGAAAAAAAGGGGGGACACCAGTGGGTACCAGGAAAGTTTTGTTATCTAATTTAGAATATAGTTGTTTTTGAAAAAAATTACATTCACTAAGCCCTTGTTTTATTACCTCTGTAACTGGGAAAATTTATATTTTCCAAAGTAATTTTTGAGTAATGATGTCCTTTTTGGCCCAATATTCTTTTTTTTTGCTTTCAAACTCTATTCTTTTTTTTAAATAAACAAATATATATATATATATATATTCATTGTAAAGATACTGTACAAAAGGGTTACAGTTACATGAGTAAGGTAATGAGTACACTTCTTATTGAGCAGTTACCCCCTCTTTTGTTTTTCCTCTACCATCCCTTCCCTCCCCACCTCCCCAACTTTTCCCTCCCCCCACATCCCCTCCCCTATCCCAGAAGCTATGAAGTTCATTTTCAACATAGTGTCTTGTATTCTCATTATTACAATGAGTCAACCTGTATCCTTGTTTCAGCATTTTCTCTTCCCCTCCCCAAATTAGAAGAATGCATATACAAGATGCAGGGCACTGGAATCAAATACAGTGAACACAGAGGTTATACCATAGGGGAAGAACATACAAAAGGAACAAAAAAAAATCACACAGTACATTATAAGTACATTGAAAACAACAGCAACAAAGATATTCTTTTTATTAAAAGAGATAACAATAATTATGCCACAGCCTAATCCCAAAAGCTTGGATTTGTTTAAGGCAAAAATGAATCATTATAATGGTGCTTTCCATGGTAGATGAGAGAAACCAATGAGAAATTATTCATCAATGGCTACTTCAGGCAATGAGATTTTAATTCATGACTTTTATAGGAAGAATTTTCATCTGTAGTGATTCTAGTTTAATTCAAATGAGCTGATTTTTATATCTTTGCAATTCTTTTTTAGCCAAAACATACCTTGAGACAGACCCTTCAGGAAGAGATAAGAGGACACCCATTGTCATCATAAAGCAAGGCCATGAGCCACTCACTTTCACGGGCTGGTTTCTGGGCTGGGATTCCAGCAGGTGGTAATCTGATTTTTTGGAAACAAGCAAACATCAGGGGCATATGAGGAGCAAGTGTCCCATTGTTGTTGAGTGGGGAAAACTTTTTGTCTGTTTGTTTGGCTTTAGAAATTAGCTTCAGCCAAATGACTCTTTGCTGCTTCTTTTCTTTTCAAGGCCTACTATTGCTTCAAAATTCTAAAAGGACTTTTCTTGTATCAACATATTGAAATAACCTAAAATAGACTCTTATTATGCGCCAATGTTAGCTCTCCTGGAGACTGCCTTATAACTTTATATATGACCTTTCAAAAGCCAAAGACTCTGTATTATCTAAGAGAATTTGTCAGGTAGGATATTTTATAATTCAGATTTGTTCTTTACTGTGCCAGATTCAGATTTGTTCTTTATTTGTTCTATGCCAGAGAAGAGAAGAAAGCCTTAACAACTTTCCTCTATTCTATGTATTTTTCTCTTTTCTATGTATTGTCTTAAGAAGAATTGTGTATTTGCAGTATGGTTTATATTAAGGTGGCTTTATAAACATGTTATTTTCCCTTTTTTGTCCTTTTGACTTTGATGCCATTGACATCTTTCCTCTTCTCTTTTTTCTTCTTTTGTCTTTTTAGGGGATTTTGAAAGCAGCTCTTCCATAATAAATGGTATTCTTAATAGGTTAGCTATTTGTGTTTGACAGTAAATGTTTAATGTCACCAAAAATGTAAACAGAAAAATGTCACTGATGTTATCTGTCATCATTAAAATGTATCTTTTGGTAAAGGCTTTGCATTGAGACATTTTATTCAAGTTTGATATGAGCTAATCACAGTACTTATGATTAAACACTGTTAGACTAGATCTGAAGCTAAATCTACCATTTTGTATGATCATGAAGTATAGACTTTTCCTAAAAGCTAATATATTTAACATATCAACTTTTTGATGTTTTTATACATTACCATTTTGATATAGTATACTTACAAGTAAGGTTTATTGACTCTTTGGTGTATTTCCTATCAATATCGAAAAAGTCACCACAATCTTAGTGACCTAAAACAATACACATATATTGAATTTTGAGCTTCAGAATTTAAAAAAAGGGTTGTCAAGGTTGCAATCTTTTGAAAGCTATGGGGAAGAAGACCTGTACCTCTCCAACTTTTGGGGGATACCTAGAGTCCTTGGCTTGTGGACACTTTTACCTTTACAACTAACAAAAAGCGTCCTTGGAAATCTGTCTCCCAATTGGTTTTGTTCTTCCATTGGACTCTCATTCTTCTGCTTCCTTCATTCACTTATAAGGATCCTTTTGCTTTCATTAGACCTAGTAGTTTATTGGTACATGGGATAATCTTATCTCATGATCCTTAATTTAATCATGACTGCAAAGTTCCTTTTGCACTCACAGGAGTCTGTCTTTGGGGAGCTAGTATTCTGCCTTGGTAGAAAGGTATATAGTAAAGCTAGTATTTTTTGGCAACTAGCATAGTGGATAAAAGCTGATACATTGAAACACTGCTAGATTTTTTTTTCCCTTCCTCTCCTCTAACAACTTCATTTCTTTCTTTTCTTTTCTTTTCTTTTTCTTTTTTGGGTCCGGTCGTGAGGCCTGAACTCTGGGCCTGGGCGCTGTCCCTCAGCTCTTCAGCTCAAGGCTAGCGCTTTACCACTTGAGCCACAGCGCCACTTCCGGCTTTTTTCTTTTTGCTTATGTGGTGCTGAGGAATCGAACCCAGGGCCTCAGGCATGCAAGGCAAGCACTCTACCACTGAGCCACCTTCCCAGCCCTTAACAACTTTATTTCAACCTAAAACTTTATTTCTAAAATAGAAAATAAATGTGGCTTGGGAAGAATATAGACAACATTTCACTTCTTTCCTAATCCTTGTAAAATTGCTGTTTTGGTTCCAACCTGACAATTTTATAAACTCAATCAAAAGAAAAAAAGAGAAACCTATCATGTTGGGCTCAACTGTGAAGATAAAGGAGTAAGTAGGATATGTCAGCTGTGTTTAGCCAAACCCAAAATATTTTCAACTACTGACTTAATTTAATAAGATAACATTGAAGGGATTTTTTTTTTTTTAGTTTTTATAAATTCCTGATCATAAAGTGGATTTTTTGTATTTGAAGAGCCAGGAGAAACATTGCTAGAATGATAATATTCTCAGAAGGTTCTCACTGAAGGTCAGGGAACTGGCCTCTAATGGTTCATAATATTCCACCAAGGTTTGAACAAGAAAAAATCATTATGTTGAGATTTTGACTTCTGAATATAAAAGTGCTTCAAAAAGGTCATGTTTTTATAAGGCTAAGCAGTATTTTACACAAACTTTTTCTGAGGGCACCAAAGGTAGCATCTTTTTTTTTTTTTTAAATAACCCTTGAATCCATTGCTTATTTGAGTCTACATTTTATTCTTTCCTTTTATTTTTTAGATGCCAAGAGGTCATCAATTACTCACAGCAGAAAAGTTATAGAATACCCTGTAGAATCCACACAACCCATTTTTTATAACTCATGATAACATTCCTAAGGAGAAAAGGGTGCTGTCCAACACAACTATAAAACACTTTGCAAATAAATGACATAGCAGCAAATTACTACCACAGGCTTAGAAAATACATAGAAAAAAAGAACACAAAGTAATAAATGATATCTTAATTTTAATACAAAGAGTAAGTAACAAAATTATTGAGATCATGTCTTTCTTTTTTTTTTTTTTCATGTCTTTCTTCCTAATAAGATGGTAGGCGTTCCAGTTTGTTAAACTTTTCTGGGTTGCTTAGATTTCTAGTTACATGCATTTTGTACTTGTTAGCTTTTAAGATGACTATTAAGTCAGACCAAAAAAAAAAAAAGAATGCAGCTTCATTTAATTATAGGCATGGCTTCCCCCTAGCCTTCTCATAGTAAACTATTCAAGTTAAGTCTTGGTGGAACCAGATCTCATCCTGATTATCCCATAACGATACCTACTAGGCAAATATAGCTTACAGATTGCTGATGCTACTGGACTTTTTTTGCTCAGTCTGAAAGCATTGTGGCTTTACAATACTAGAGAACACTTGATAGGCCCTTTAGTTAGAAGACCTTGGTAAAAACCTTGGTTATTTTTTATTATTGATTAAGCTAGATGTATTAGTTAAATTAACTGATTTTTAAACTATACTTTATCTGGTGAAGCATGTTTTGTGCCTGTTTATTTGCCTTACAAATCTTTCACTGGTGAATATAAGGTTGGGGAAAAGATTAAGTAAAGTGAAAGTCACGAAAAAAAGTTGACCTTGGTCTAAGCCAATGGGAAAAGAAGGAAGAGACTAACAGGAGCATGTCATAATCTGAGGAAAAGCAAAATGCTAAGGACAGAAAAACAGAGTAAAATAAAAATAATCATTGAAAACAAAGTGGGTATACTAGGGACTGAGAAGGTGGCTCAGTGGTAGAGCACTTGCCTTGCATGCATGAGGCCCTGGGTTCGATTCCTCAGCACCACACAAGGAGAAAAAGCTGGAAGTGGTGCTGTGGCTCAAGTGGTAGAGTGCTAGCTTTGAGCTGAAGAGCTGAGGGACAGCACCCAGGCCCAGAGTTCGGGCCCCATGACTGACAAAAAAAAAGTGGATATTCTGGACTGGGGTTAGTGTCCAGTGGCAGAACATTTTCCTAGCATAAGTGATGACCTAGTTTCCATCCCTAGTAGGACACAAACACACACACACACACACTCAAAACACACACACACATGCGCACGCAGGTGCAGTACATGGAAAGTAGGCGTATACTGAGGACATGAGTTGAACTATTTATAGGAGTTTTCAGAAAAAAGGAAAGAGATATTAGGTAAAGCTCAATGACTGAGTAGAATGAATAAAACAATTTTGTTGAATAAAACAATTGAGGTGACAGTGAAGAAAACTGAATGCCAGAAACTATTGCTGATTTGAAGGGCTTTGGGCTTGACATTTCTGTTACATATATTGAGAAATGTGAAGTAAAAATTGAGATGGGGCCTGGGAAGGTGGCTCAGTGGTAGAGTGCTTGCCTTGCATGCATGAGGCTCTGGGTTCGCTTCCTCAGCACCACATAAGCAGTAAAAAACTGAAGTGGCACTGTGGCTCAAGTAGTAGAGCGCTAGCCTTGAGCTGAAAAGCTGAGAGACAGCACCCAGGCCCAGAGTTTAGGCCCCACAACTGATTAAAAAAATAAAAATAGATAAAATATTGAGATGAAAGACATGTGCAAAAGTTAAGAAAAACTAAAAAAACTTCATAAAAGGATATTCTAACCATTGTGTGTATTGACTATGCTCATTTTTTATATATACTATGGAAAAACAAGTCGTTTAAATAAGGATGCAGGTGGACCCGTTGCAACAATGAGAAGTACAAGTTGTCATGTTGAAAACGAGCTTTACAACTTTGGTGGTGGGGGGCAGGAGGATTGGGTGGGGGGGGCAGGGGGAGGCTGGGAAGGATGGGAAGGGGAAACAAAGGAGGAGGCTACAATGCTTGCTGAGAAATGTACTCATTATCTTGCTCATCTGTGTCCCTGACAAGTAGTGTGGTCATCTGACTGAATTCTGGCCAATGGCATGCAAACAGTTTCTTGAGTTATGAGAGCAGGTTCTTTATCACGTCTTTAAGAGGGATTGCTTGCCCCTATTCCTCTGTTCTCTTCTCTGGCTGGGAAATGATAGCTTGGATAGTCACTCTGAGTCTAGAGACAGAAGCCACAAGTACAAGATGGCAGCTCTTCCCTTTTATAATGTAATCTGTTTTATTTTCTGGTGGAAAATGAAAGAACATTCTAAATCGTGGTATTTGAGGCACTATTTTGAAGACTGGGAGGTCAGCAATTCTTTCTGTGCTGAAAACTTTACTAGCAGTAAGTAGAACTTACCTGCAGTCACTAAGAAGACAAATTATATGCCTTCCCTTGAAATAGGTCGTGAAAACACAGAAAACTCTAAGTATGAGCTGTATCTTACTGCTTTTAGCAGTGTGCAGTAAGGCCCTGATGAAGTCTGGTGAGATTTAGTGAGTTAAATGGAGAGACGAAAGAGATATAACCGCTCTGTTCTCAGCAAGTGTCAAGCAATCTAAATTGACTCTGGGATTAGTAACTTGGCTAAGTCACCTGTTATTGTAAACAAACTAACAGTAGATAAAGTTGCCACTCAGGATCTTGCTGAAAGGTCTTCCCTTAAGTGTTCTCAACCAGAAATATTAGATAATCCAGTTACAAAGTCAATTTAAGGTTGCTGTTTTCCCAAGGAATATGGCTGCTTTTAATTCAAGAGAGAGAGGCTGGATAACACTGTCACAGTTATATCCAGATAATCCACAACATTTGGCTATGGTTTTGACTACAATTGAGCAAATTATATTGCCAAAGAACTTTCAGGCCTAACTGTAAAAAAGGCTTGTGATTGTTTCACCATAGAGCACCTCTTGAAACCCTAACCCTCATTCAGAGGAAAGCTGAGAAGTTTGTGCTATCTTTGGCTTAAAATATAGGATTCCATGTCCATTATCACATCTAAAGTAGGAAAGATGTATGTCTTAAAATTTTCTTTTTTTTTTTGCCCATTCTGGGGCATGAACTCAGAGCTTGGGCACTGTCCCTGAGCTTTTGCTCAAGGCGCTACCATTTGAGTGAGCCACAGTGCCACTTCTGGCCTTTTCTGTTTATTAGAGATAATCTCTTCAACTTTCCCCACACAGCTGACTTTGAACTTCAGTCCTGAGATCTCAGCCTCCTGACTAGCTAGGATTGTAAGG